GCCAAATCACCTTTTGGGGGATGATTGGTGGTGTCATGTAGATGTGCAGTAAGGTTTCGGAATTTTAATTTTGCCCCGGGGGGTCAAATGGGGGTCGAAAAATGACGTTTTTTATGTAAAAAGCCTCATCTACCCTGAACTCCTCTTACATTTTACTTAGCAGCCTAATCATCTTTTGTGGGATGATTAGTGGTGACATGTAGATGTGCAGTAAAGTTTCTGAATTTTGATTTTGCCCCGGGGGGTCAAATGGGGGTCGAAAAATGACTTTTTTTGTGCAAAAATTCTCGTCTTCCCTGAACTCCTTCTACATTTTACTCAGCAGCTTAATCACCTTTTGGGAGATGGTTGGTGGTGTCATGTACATGTGCAGTAAGGTTTCGGAATTAAGATTTTGCCCCAGGGGATCAAATGGGGGTCGAAAAATAACGTTTTTCATACAAAGAGCCCTGTTTTCCCTGAACTCCTCTTACATTTTACTCAGCAGCCTAATCATCTTTTGGGAGATGGTTGGTGGGGTCATGTAGATGTGCAGTAAGGTTTTGGAATTTAGATTTTGCCCCGGGGGGTCAAATGTGGGTTGAAAAATGACGTTTTTTGTGCAAAAAGCCCTGTCTTCCTTGAAGTCTTCCTTAATGTTACTCAGAAGCCTAATCATCTTTTAGGAGAGTTAAATATTTTGAAAATTATGTAAAACATCAACGTCAAGGGGTAACAAGATGTGTTTGTGAAACACTATGCGCCCGGCGTCAACAAAGTTTGAAAAATCTATTTTTAGATATAGTTCACAGTCAAGGTCACAAGGTCATTGACCTTGGTGTTATTTGTAAGAACTTAATTAGTGGGGTATGCATACTAAATATGAAGTCCCTATCTCCTATGGTTCAAAAGTTATGGCAAAAAGTAGAAAAAGCTATTTTTAGTATAAAGGTCACAGTTAACTTCACATGGTCATTGACCTTGGTGTTGTTTGAAAGAACTTTATTAGTGGAGTATGCATACTAAATATGAAGTCCTTATCTCTTATGGTTCAAAAGTTATGGCAAAAAGTGGAAAAACCTATTTTTAGCATATAGGTCACAGTCAAGGTCACAAGGTCATTGACCTTGATGTCATTTGAAGGAACTTAATTAGTGCAGTATGCATACCAAATATGAAGTCCCTATCTTCTATGGTTCAAAGGTTATGGCAAAAAGTGGAAAAAGCTATTTTAAGTATAAAGGTCACAGTCAAGGTCACATGGTCATTGACCTTGGTGTTGTTTGAAAGAACCTTTTTAGTGGAGTATGCATACCAAATATGAAGTCCCTATCTCCTATGGTTCAAAAGTTATAACAAACAGTTGAAAAACCTATTTTTAGCATATAGGTCACAGTCAAGGTCACAAGGTCATTGACCCTGATGTCATTTGAAAGAACTTTATTAGAGGAGTATGCATACTAATTATGAAGTCTCTATTTCTTATGGTTCAAAAGTTATGACAAACAGTTGAAAAACCTATTTTTAGCATATAGGTCACAGTCAACGTCACAAGGTCATTGACCTTGATGTCATTTGAAAGAACTTTATTAGAGGAGTATGCATACCAAATATGAAGTCTCTATCTCTTACGGTTCAAAAGTTTTGGCCAAGGTTAAAGTTGACAACAGACAAACAGACAAACAGATAAACAGACAAACAGACAGGACAAAAACAATATGCGCCCCGAAAAAATTCGGGCGCATTAAAAAAACATCGCATGCTGGGAAACACCTTGAATTCTTATGAGTAATTTATGTACCTGTCAAATGTGAGAGTCATATCTCATCTCAATCAAAAGTTATAAGCAAATGGAACATTTTTGAAAAGTAGGTTAGGCTTGATCGCTTCAAGGTCAAGGTCACAGTGTAAAAGTCATGATTTATTTGGAAAGGTCTTATCACAGGTAATAATATACATGCATTATGATATGAATGCCCTAACTTTTCTCTTTCAAAATGATGAATTTATAACAATTTAATTTTTTCGCAAGTTGGTCAAACTTCTAGGTCACATGTAAAAAAAAAAACCCATGCCATTCTCACAGGTAAATATATATACTAATACATAAGTTTAATATGAATGTCTCTTCTCATTCAGTAGATATAACCGTGATAACCAAGGTTAAATTTATTGAGACAGATGGACTGAGTCTGACATACAAATGTACATATTTCTATATGAATTGGGTAAAATTGGCCCAGTGGTTCTAGAGAAGTTAAAAATGTAAAAAGTTTTCAGACAAACAGATGGACAACACGTTACGACAGACATTATATGCTAAGGAAACCAAAAAAGCTCAAATGAGTGTTTTGAAAGGGTTACGATATGGTTGGAGTATTTGAAAAGCTGTTTTTTTTCCTGCAGAGATATGCATGACCAACATATTCATGTTTTATATTTTCTTTAGTGATTTGTTTGTTTGTTGTGAATACATCTTCCCTCATATGGAGACACCGCCAAATAATAATGAAGATAAGATGTGTTTGTGAAACACTGATGTCCCAGTATGGAAGCCTATGGCGAAGGTTGAAGTTTCTCAAATATATGTCAAAATCAAAGGTCAAGGTCAAAGGGTTCAAATTGTTAGTATCAGAAGAAAGTCTTGTCACAAGGAATGCACATGTGAAATAAAGAAATCCCTAGTAATTCCTGTTCAAAAGTTAATTGCCAAGGTTAATTTTTTTGTTTAAGTGGTTCAAACTCTAGGGTCAAGTTCAAACATATTTATACCTGTTGACAGTTCACAATGAATACAATATGTCATGATAAGTATGAAGCCCTAGCACCTACTGATCAAAATTTAGGCAGAGTTTAAAGTTTGGTATTTTTCTTGTAAAAATGTGTATCCCATGTCAAGCGATCAGAGGTAAAAATTAATGGTACCCAAATAAAAGGTCTTATTAAATTGTCACAAGAAATAAACCTATAAAATGTGGAAGCTATTTGTATAGCCCATCCCACTTAAAACTTATGGGCAAGCTAACTAGGATTTAATTTCTGCAGACTTATAGACAGACATACTAAACACAAGAAACAAAATATGTATAATAATTAGTCAAATGGAAAAAAATATACTATTTAACTGGAATAACAAAATACATTGTTATTTCAGGGACAGGAAGTGGGTAGGAAGATTGGAATCCCCCCATCCCCCCCCCCCATCTGGCATTTGCTTTGTTATTTAAACAAGACTATATACTGTAGCAAGTAAAAAATGACTCTTGACATCCTCTCCCTATAAACTTAGAAAACATTGACCTCACTATCATTGTTTTTTTATTTGTTTATTTGTTTTCATTTTTTTCTCCTGCTTGTCACGAAATTCTGGGCTGGAATTTTTTGACTGAGATGTGAACCCCCCTCCCTACTCCCGATAAAAATTCTGGATCCGCACCAGTATTGGCAGTAACTGAATGTCACATCGACAACGGGAGATAACTTCACAATATGAAATTCGTCTAGTGTGGCATGTGATGATCTTTCACCCTTTTTAAACTTTAACCTAATAGTTTGGGTGTATTTTACCCCCCACTATACTAAAACTTCTACTTACCGACTCCCTGTGTCTCAACTTCATGAAATATAAATCCAATTATAACTCAAAATGAATTAATCCAATGCACACCAGACTGCAGCCATGTGCCATTTTGGCGAACCTTCGTCGATTCCATCACCTTATCAGATGAAGTGGGAATCGGCCGAGGTGTGCCAAATGGTGTTTAATCTATAAATATGATAATGGGTGACGCAACGTGATGTGATGTAGAAATTTACATGTTCACATGTATAGTACAAGAACAAATTTTAAATTAATTCATAACAAACGATATTAAATTTTAACAAACCTTTTCCATCTAGCCTATTCCAAAAAGTATGTGCTGTGTGATTGTGGTGTCGAGGGGGGGGGGGGGGGTTAGTAAATTTAAAAAGGTCCTATTATGAGCAAAACATATATCAAAATCTAATTTCAGACGCGGATCCAGAAATTTTTTCCGGGGGGGGGGGGTCCTCCTCAGTCAAAAAAAAATCCTATCCCAGAAATTGACAATCAAAAAAAAACCTAAAGTAAATCTCACCCAAACGTCAAAAACCTATATCGTGGGGTGGGGTGGGAGTAGTGGTGACTTCTATTGCCGCAAATTAAATGTTTAACTTTTCATACTTATTTTACACATATTCGTGTTTACCAGGGGGGGGGGGATCTGCATTTTCCAAGGGGGGTCCATTGTAACTTTTTCCTTGTTTTAGTATATACATTTTTTAACCTTGTAAATTCCAGGGGAGGGGGTTTGTAACTGACCCCCCCCCCCCCCGACAGATCCGTGCATGAATTTACATCATTAATAAAATTCAGACTGGTATATAATGAATTAAACATGTATAAAATAAATATAAGAGGTTCTGAGTTATTGGTCACAAGGTCTGAGAATTTCATACTCAATTTGATGAATACATGTAAATTATAGAATTATTTTGACTATTTCTTTGGAAAGCCGCCCAATATGTAGGAGCGTGTATTTAGAGGCAAACACCTTAGTGCGGGTATTACTGTCTCATGACAGCATCTAGTTTTTATTTCGTTTCAGCTCCATTTATTAAAGATATAGCTATAAATGCTATACAGTGAAAATTAGTAAATTACTCAATTTTGACGGTGCTCCGTGACCCAATTTTTGCAATACTAAATCTTTGATAATTTTTATAGATATGAAGATATATTCAAATTTTTTTACTATGATTATTTGAATCTGTTGTTAAAATTTGTGTACCAAATTTGGATGTAATATGACGTTAAATAAAAAAGTTAGGGCAAAAGTCTACGAACTTTTTGAATGACCCTCGTATTAGTAGGTACACATAACACTATATGAAATTAAATAATTTTAATTCATGGAATTGACTAGTAGTTAAGAAAAACCTTACATATGTGAAAAAATGAATAATAAACCATAAAAGAAATTAAAGAAGCGTGTCCTGACCTGACCCCGTCTGTGACTTGACAAGGACATCGTGACCACTGAGTACTTGTGGAATGGCTCTCTGCTGCACTGATGTCATCTGTGTTATCTTGAATCTCTCCTCTAAATTTGAAATCTGAAACATATCAGTTAATGTTAACCAATGAATTGAAACTTCCTGCAATATATTTTTATATTAATATCTAAAATGACTCAGGTTATAACAAAACATTTTTTTTTACCATGAAGGGATGTAGTTCTAGATCTTTGAAATTCTTTGAAGAGAAAATCTCCTCTCTTATCTTTGCAACAGCTGACCTAAATAAAATATTAAATGTTCAATTGATTTTTGGCTTCAAAATTAAATTGTATAAATAAACAAAACACAAAATTCATATTAAAAGACTTACTTTTCAACATTTGGAATCTCAGGATTAAACCTGAACAAAGAGGATATGAACACCTTATTTTCATTCCTCTCTTTTTTGTGTGGCACTTCTCTCACATCATTTGGGTGTTTTCTCTTCAAAGATGAGGATACAATCACAGGAACTTTTGAAGTGTCATATTCCTTTTCAGGTTTGTTTTTATTTGGTTTCAATGGAACCTCTTTTTCACTCTCTGTTTCCTGAATTGTCTCTGGTTTATGTGGTTGATCAGGTTTATCTGAATGAAAAGCAGCTAGCTCGGATGTGGCTTTTTGTAATCTTCTTTGTTTTATTCTCGTTCCCTGGGGAAAAAAGAAGATTCATATTAAATTTTAACTCAGCAATCAGATATAATTAATTTTAAAACAAAAATCATTTATGAATATCAGTGTAATAAATTTTGATTTGAAAAGACATATATCACCTGATACTGAAAGAGGGGAGATCTAGAAATTTTTAAAAATGTCAATTTCGCCTTTGCTGTTAATCATGTGTGAAAGGGATCCAATTATATTTCCCCCAGATATACAATATTTGAGTGTGATTAACACTTTGATTCCAAATATGCATTACATTGTTTATCAAAGGCAAACAATAATTAAAATCTCATGAAAAATGAAAGGTCTCGATCTCTCTGAAATTGGGTCATTTTAGCATGACTTTTGGATTTGCAACTGTGTTAATACACCATTAAACTGGTTTCTTTCAAAGCAGAAAGTTGGGCCAAAAATTATCCGTTGATTGAATCTGGTTTGGAAGCCGTTGTATTTCAAAATATAATGCAAAAGTGATGTCATAGGTACAGTAGGACAGGTAGCCCTCTAATCATGAGATTGTATATATGGTTAATTGTACTACAGCTGTATGTATCTTCCTTGCGCTACCAAATGTACACAATATCATTAATATTTTAGAATCAAAACGATTTGAAAGATTGCCTTTGATATGATTTTTGAAAGAGTTGAAACAATATGCATAAGGAAAAAGTAACAGTATCTAAATTTTTTGAAAATTACAAAATATTACCCGTTTCTTGCTATATTTAGTTTTCTGTTTCGTTCGTTTTTCATTTCCAACATAGAAATTGAGCTGTAGTGAGTTATCTTCTGACATTCTCTCCTAGATTTGTAAAATAATAAATATTACCACATGGTCTCAAAATTTTGTGTTTACAAGAATATACCTTTCTTATCTTCAAAATTTGAAGATCGATTCAAAGGGAGCTTACTCTATTCATAGAAATTGTGAAAAAGTGGCGTATACATCCCCATATACCCTTAAAATTAAAAATATTAGATTTAAATTTTTATACCCCTATAATCGTAGATTCATAGAATATAGTTTTTGCCTTGTCCGTCCGTCTGTCTGTTTGTCCACAAAAACATATATGAACCTTGCAAGCTCAAAAGCTATGAGCTATGACTTTCATATTCCGCTAGTGTATTCTTTGTAAAAGGGCCTTTCTTTGGGTACCATTATATTTGACCTCTTGACCTTGTCCTTGGAGTCTGACAAAATTTTGCAGGAATTTACCCATTGGCAACTTTAACCGATGTCATTCTTTCATACATCACATGACACTTTGAGACCATTCAATTCATTGACCTTTTGATCATGACTTTAAATGACACTGAATTGAATTCGATCCATTTTTAAAAACTTCATTTGACCTAGAACATAACTTTTGAACTGTTATTACTAGAACCTTCATTTTTTACAGGTGTCACTGATGATTCCTCGCGACAAGACCTTCCTTTGGATACTAAATTTTTGACATTTTAACCTCGGTATGACAAGCTGTTGGAGAAAAAATTATCCCTGGTCATAACTTTTGAACAGTTGGTATTTGGGATTTAATATTTTATAAGTGTGTTTCTTATGACAAAAATTATTATATATAAGGCCTTCCCTGGGTACCTATTGCTTAAATTTGAACCTGTGGCTCTGACCTTGAAGTTTGGCTCTTTAAAATCAACATTTGTCATAATTTTTTTCCTTCTCTGCATTCATAATTTGTTTCCATTTTTTGACCTTGGAGTTTGATTTGCATTTGGTTGCTAGCTGAATAATTATAAGCTAGGAATTTTTTTTTATTTAATTTGACAAAAACCACATGTGGCGCAAGTCATACATACAGTAAACAAATATAAAATATATACACTGTACATGTAGTCACATAGATTTTCTTATATTACATGCATCACGTATGAAGTTACAAATATTTCTTGTAGAATTAACATCTGCTGGATCAAGAATTTCATAAGATATACATGTATTATTAAAAAGTGTACAAAATTCACATGTACCATAGCAGCGGTAATTTTCTTTTGATCTAAACTGTGGGTATCTGTACATAACCATTGATACCCAATGGGCGTGGTAAAACTGCTACAATAAAATCATGACGTAAATCATTTGCATAAATTTCCAACTTTAATAATCATTGAAAAGTTACATTTTCCTCAACATTGATTAACAAAATTCACATACACTTTCAGTCAACTGTATGAAATAAAATGAAAATTTAATACTTCATCTCAACTTTTAAAACAACATGCTTTTCAACGATTGAAAAATACTTGACAGTTGTTAAATGTGTTTTTACACTCGCAATCTCCATGCTTTGGATTTTCAATTTTGTCCAAGGATTTTGCCTTTTTGCTGACCGGTTCATCTGGTTCCAACGCGTTGGAAATATCACGTAGCATCTCCTCACTCGGACGCTTGTATTTGCGGACACTCTCAATGGATCTGTGGCCTGTACGTTCCATGATTTCCTGTTCCGGTACCCCGGCTTGGTAGAGAGCGGTTGCGCAAGTGCGCTTACCTGAATGATTAGAAAAGAATCCGGGAATTCCGGCTTTGTCACACATAATTTTCATAATTGTAGATAATTTGTTGATTCCAATGGGTTGTACACTGAAACGGACTTCGTTGTTCTCTCCATTTGCCAATGGTCGCCGGTAAAATCGGTTATTTTCTGAATTAATCACCACCAGATTGAAGTATTCCTGATAGATATTGTAGACTTTTTCGCCCTGGAAGTGATGTCTTATCGATTTCGCGCTCACATTTCTTTGATACAATCCACCTTTAAAAAAATACAAACAAGGACTGTACATTCAAATTATAACTTTCCTAAAAAAAAGAATTACACATTTTACATTTATCAATAGTTTTTTTAAAATAAAAATGTATTTGTCAGTTGTTTTTGATTATTGAATGAAATTCTATATAAGATCAAAATACAAATTAACAGATCGATACAGGGATTTATTTAACAATTTTTCAGCAATTTGCGGTCCACGCATTTAAAATGTGATAGGCCTAACCAATTTGAAGTGTTTTTTAATAAGTAAATCAACTTACCTTTGTATGTCTTATTTGCCCTTCCTGTGAAATTTATAAACTTGCCCTTCTGGTCTTGACCTAACTCAAACTGGTCAACAGATAATGTTTTGTGCTCGTCCACCGCCCTCAGTCCGAACAATTTGCAATTGTAGAAAAAGACAGTATTTAACATAGATTCTCCTGTACTGTTGCCGAGGAGACCCTTTTCCCAGAGAACATTTTCTGCCTCTTCAGAAATAGGCTTGGCCTGCTTTGTAGACGTCCCCACTCCTTGTGCGGTAAGTTCTGCCATTCTTGCGCTAAGAGTCTTCCGGAATTCGTAAAATTGGGAATTCTTGTCATCAAGAAAATTCAAATGCACACCGTTTTCTCGTAAATGTCTTAAAAGTCCAGTACAAAGCATGTAAAGTGTTTTTGGAGGGTACGCTTTGCCTTCTTCGCGTCGCGTTTCAACAACAAATCTTGACAACCAAAAATTAAGTTCCTCTGCAGAGAAAGACAGAATATCCGGAATCTGGTCGCCTGTTGTCAACATCGTTAAACGTAGTTACAGACCAATTTGTGTTCTTGCGGGTGTTCTTGCTTTCTGTCGAATTATGCAACTCTTTTCAATCACTGTCATTTACAAAATGTTCATAACGACCAACCGACATCTTAGATCCTCCCTCATTTTTTGTGAGCACATCAAAATAAACCGTGTAGTCCAATTCCATGTCATCGGGGCCGGGGTTGTACAAGTTGATCGCCTGAGATAAGGTGATGTTCTCTAGCAAATTTTCGCACTCGATCTCCTTTTCTATCTGCTCAGTTGCTTGCGAGAGAGTAATGCCGTCAATGGTAGTGTCCCATAGCTGCTCAGTTGCTTCCGAAAGAGTAATGTCGTCAATTGTCGTGTCCCAAAGGCTCCCCAAATCAAATAAACCCTGGCACGTATCGTCCATTTCCATTTCACTGCTTTATCGCCGTCCGCATCAAATGACTTAGAAGCGGGAAATGAAGCGCCGAAATTATTTTTGTGCACGTGAAAGATATCTCGCATGGCTTTGATACATGTGACTTAAACAATAGGTTTTAATTGGTTATGTACAGAAGGGCGAAGGCGCGGCAAAAATGTCATATGGACGCTGCGCGTCCTCGTGACATTTTTTCCCCACCTTCGTCCTTCTGTACATAACCAACTAAAACCTATTGTATAACTACTACTTCTTAGTTGTTTATAAAGAGGACATACAAATAAGAAATGATGTTCATCTTCAATGACATTTTTACAATTAATACAAAATCTTTCATCTCTTGGTATAATTGGGTTACAATATCTGCCAACCTTCTATCTGTAATTTGTGAGCACTTATTCTCGATCAAGTTAAAAAAGAACGAAGATTCTTGGAAATGGAAAAATTTAAGTATGGTTGGATTTCAAGCTTGTTTAGATTTCCTTGACTCGTTAAATGGCTGAAGAATGATAACTTGTCATTGCCTATTTCTTTGATATTTTTTATATCCCTAAAAACTAAATTCTCAAAATATTTTTTTTCAAATTATTTTCAAAATCATTTATAGATGATTAATGTATTAATAAGCTTTTGAACCAATAACTTCATCAAGTAAAGTTTGTATACAGTTTTGCCAACATGTTTTTCCACTTCCTGCAAGTTTTTCATCCTCTAATAATGCATGTTGTAAAAGTAAGTTTGATTTCTATTGATCTGCAACAAGTTTTTAGCTCACCTCAACGAAGTTGGGGGAGCTTATGTAATACCCTCGGCGTCGGCGTCGGTGTCGGCGTCGGCGTCCCAGGTTAAGGTTAAGTTTTTTGGAGCAGTTTTCTTTTTAAGTACTTCTATGTCCTATATTGATTAGACATGCATGGAAGATGGTTCTAGTGTGTTTCATTGTACCAGTCAAAGTTTCAGATGCTGCAATTTCAGCAAAGGAATGACCAGGTTAATGTTTTTGGAGCAGGTTAACATTTTTGGTGCAGTTTTGGGTGTAGGTTTCATTTCCAAGTAACTATAAGCCATATGGTGACCAAACTTGCATGTATGATACATCTAAGGATGCATACTACCAGGCTTGCTTCGGATGCTTAATCTGACCTACATTTTACGGTTGAGTGAACAGGTTAAAGTTTTTGGTGCAGGTTTCATTTCCAAGTAACTATAAGCCCTATGTTGACCAAACTTGCATGGATGATACATCTACGGATGCATACTACCAGGCTTGCTTCGGATGCTGAATCTGACCTACATTTTACGGTTGAGTGAACAGGTTAAAGTTTTTGGTGCAGGTTTCATTTCCAAGTAACTATAAGCCCTATGTTGACCAAACTTGCATGGATGATATACCTAAGGATGCATACTACTGGGCTTGCTTCGGATGCTGAATCTGACGTACATTTTCCGGTTGAGTGAACAAGTTAAAGTTTTTAGTGCAGGTTTCATTTCCAAGTAACTATAAGCCCTATGTTGACCAAACTTGCATGGATGATACATCTAAGGATGCACTACAGGGCTTGCTTCGGATGCTCAATCTGACCTACATTTTCTGGTTGAGTGAACAAGTTAAAGTTTTTAGTGCAGGTTTCATTTCCAAGTAACTATAAGCCCTATGTTGGCCAAACTAGCATGGATTATACATATAAGGATGTATACTACCAGGCTTGCTTCGGATGCTGTATCTGACCTACATTTTCCAGTTGAGTGAATAGGTTAAAGTTTTTGGTGCATGATTCATTTCCAAGTAACTATGAGTTCTTTAATGACCAAACTTGCGTGGATGATACATATAAGGATGCATACTACTGGGCTTGCTTCGGATGCTGAATCTGACC